CTGGCGGATATGCCTTCTGATGCGGGCTTTAATTACCTCATCACAGCCTACTTTTTCTTCAACAAGACTGCTGCTTCATTCAGGGCGTGATGGACAGACGGCAATTAATGAAGGGCCAGTCAATATTTTCTTCTGTCCTTTTTTTGTTCAGTGCATGGCCCCAGGCATTATTTGCTGCGTGCCATCAAATTCCTGCTCTTAGACAGAATTATTCATCGTCTCCCGGACTTTTCTCTCACGTGTATCAGTGCAGCAACTGAGAGCATCCCACACAGGCAGGAATTTTATCTTCCAACACCCCTGTGAGCAGAGAGCCTGGGTTTTACCTACAGGAACACGTGGTGCAGACATGAGTTGCAGAATGCTCCGCTAGTGAGGCCCAGGTGGGATTTTTCAGGGTACCCATACTGTATCTGTTCAAAGCCCAACTCCCCTACCCTCAGCCAGAGCTGTAAGCACTCAGCGCTTCTGTAATTTGAATTGTGTTCTTCTTGTAATTTTCTGTGTCCAGAAAATAAGAAGCATGGAACTGGTTGCTCTCAGAGAAAAAAAATGTCAGTTGTTAAAGAGGCCACAGCTCCTCTGCTGATGCTGGGCTGGAGCAGGGCTCTGCTGTGCCGTCACTGAGCCGGGAGCGAAAGAAAAGAGCAACACTGATGTGGTCAAAGGGGTGGACTTAAGGCAGCGCAAGGTGACGGCAATTTGCAAATTTTTCGGCAAAAAGTCTGTTGTACTGCCTTAACCATTCTGTGTAACAGCTGTATTCTGTTTCCTCTTAACCTTTTCAAATTTTTTCACCTTTCACCAAAGATTTCAGTGGAGGACATTTCTCACTTTCGACCCAAGCAATCTTAACCTTTACTCTGGCACAAGTAGAAAGAGGTGAGTGCAGGACAGAGGCGCGGTAAGAGGAAGAGATCCCTGTGCCACGGGCGGCATCAAAGGGAGCCCCACTCAAATGCTTTCCAGTGAGTGCAGTGAGAGCAGAATTTGCTGGTCACCGAGCAACTTAAAAAGGGACAGTAACAAGAGGAGAGGAAGGGCATGAACCTTCATTGTCACCCAACACCCCTTTTCTGCACTGCGCTCTCCTGCTCAGTGCCCACTTAACCCAACCTTAGAGAGACATCTTTGTGTCCAGGATGGACTTTCCTGAGCCTCTCTGAAGCATGTCTAAGCAGCAGCACTCTCTTCTCCAGCAGCTTCTGTAGGCAGCACAGAGGTCTCTTTTACTCTGTTAGAAATTCATAGGCCTACGGGCTTGTTCACTCCAGAAGATGTCCAGCATTTTCAGCAAGGCTTTTAATTCATTAGCTCGCACAGGAAAATATTCTAACCTTCCTGCCCTCCCCAGCTGAGTCATTGATGCTTTCCTATCTTGCCGCAGACACATCACCTTCAGGAAAATAATTGCTTAGCATGCTGATAACAATGGGCATTTTCCTTCTGAACTGAGTGTTTGTTTGGCACCACGGGGTCTTCTCATGATGAGGACTGCAGGATACATTGGGGTTACTGTTTGAAACAACTCCTGACCTTCCCTTGCAGGCTGTGAGAAACACCACATGGGCACTGGGCCGGGATCCCACGGGATCAGGGCAAGGTTGAAGGAAGTTCAGTAAGAGGGAAGGGGCTGAAGGGTCCTGTGAGGGACTGGATGAGCTGTGATGGGAGGGAGGGGGCACTGGAGAATAACCCACGAGGTTTGCCCAGAGGTTCCTTCTGTTACAGAGGGAGCAGAAGCCTCTAAGCTTGATTTCTATGCCTTGCAACTGTGAATACCTCCTCTTGCTAGTGAGGACATGTTGGGATGGAAGAGATTGCCCAGGGCAGAGTTGGGTGCGCCCAGGCTCATCCCAACCTTTCAGAGACCACCACCACAACAATGCATTCAAAATTAATTTCTATCAACCAACTACTCAGGGACAAAACAGATCACCCCTACTGTCCCCCCGGCAGGCTCAGCAAATACGTGAGGGCTCCAACCCGACTTTCATGGTGGCCTCTTGGGAAGTCGTTGGAGCCTGACTCCTATGAGACTGGTGGGCACAGTTCCACATAGTGAGGAACTGAAGGTCCCATCTACAGGTGGCACTTGTGCCCAGGAGCTTCTGTAGACAAGGGCAGGTGGAATTTAATCATAGGTACAACTGACCAGTTGGATTCACTTACAGGCACGTAAGCACCTACACAGGTACAGGTACTCCTCTTTCCCGCTTGGAATAAGCTGCACAAGCGTACAGGACAGTAGAGGATAGCCTAGCCCCGGCTTCAATCTTGGTTCTGGAACCAGAGCCATCTCATCAGTTCTTGCCTCTTGCTCCAGATGATCCAAATTCAGTTCCCACTGAACTGCCCACATTGCCTATGCTCTAGGACGGCTGTTGTCAGACAGCCTGAGTGTGTGGACTAATCTCTGGAAAGGTGCCTGAGTTTGGCTATCAGCCATATTCCCGACTCTCAGCACCCTTTCGACGCCTCCCTTTCGACGCCTCAGTTTTCTTCTCTGCAACATGGTGATACCAACATAAACATTTCCTTCTTTAAGATCCTTCAGTCAGATGAGCTCTGGAAGTGTTGCTATTTCCAGGGCTGTCGTTATAACACATTTTGGCTGCACTGATTCCCTCAAACAGAAATCGTTCCGCCTGGAGTAGGCTGGGACAAAGCAGCCAATTAGTTGTCCCTTACACGTTTATTAACTCTGCAGCTTTCTTTCAATGGAATCTGGTAATGTTTTAATACATTTTCGTAAACTGTGGTCACAACATGTCCTGTTTCAAGCTAATAACCATGCCATATAATTAGTCCTGATTACACAGATATTTAGTATCATTTTACATATTCCAATCCTTTCCTAGTGCCACTGCCTAGCCAAGGCGTATTTAAAGCCACAGCCATCTCCCTTCTGTTTCCCGGCATTTTGCAAGATTTTCTTTTGGACAGGTTTGCGGTTAACACGACAGCTTCAAAGAACAATTTCATTTCATTGATGTACATTTTCTATATATACAGGCTCTGATCAAATGTCAGGTGACAAAGCCCAGGATACAAATAGAAGGCATTTGTCTACTTACAGAGACAAGCTGGTATTTGAAAGCTATCAGGAAATTAACAACATGAATCTTTAAAAATCTATTCCTTAAACATCTGTTGGCTTTGGGCTCAACATTTACTGCATTTAGGATTTTACTGCGAGGTAGCACTCCCCAAACAAAATATCCCTCACCCCATTAGACTCTGGTGGGAGAACGAGTGAAATTTGCCCCTGTGCAACCCGATTATAGATGTGTATCTTTCCCTGCTGGCGTGGCTGTCGCTATAGAGATGGACATGGATATTTGATGACATTAAAATGCTTCAGTTACCACTGTCAGTGGTTCTTTAATTTAAAATGAAGAAAGCAAACAAACATTCCTTTTGATGAGGTAACTGAATGATGCTACGGAAAAGCACTTTGCTGTCAGGTGGTAATTAGGTTCAGTAATAGTTGTGGGTTTTTAGCCTTGGAGGCTGTGGCCCCTGGGAGCCTGCGAGAAATGATACATTCAATTTCCGGAGGAGAGGAAGATGCTGGATGCTTTTCTCTGCTAACCCTGCAGGTCTCTGCAGATAAGGGCATTCAGAACTGCAGCGCTGACAATCCTCCTTGAGCCAGCCTAAACTGTTGTGTCAAGATCACCAACGCAGAAAGGGAGAGGGACTCAAAGCAGGGCATTTAAACACCTAACGCAGCCAGGCTGGCTCTGACCACATATATGAGGAACTGCCAGAATGGCTGCACCAAGAGGATTTTTAAAGGCTGCGGAAGGAACTCCAGCAACTGCTCTATGGTCTGAGCTGATATTTGTAACATCCATCTTACGCATCACTAGAAAATCTTCAGTAGGAAAGTGTTCCTTTGCAGACAAGCAACTGTTCCCACAGGTACTTTTTTAAGAGGGAAAAAAGTGGGGAGAAGAAGGGAGTGAATTTCAAGGCTGAGTTGCCTCCCTTGCCAACTTGGAATTGTTTTTTCCACTGCAAAATATAAATTATATTTGGTTGTGCTATTAAGAGTTGAACCCCAAATGAAATATTCCAATTGGCCCAGATGCATTTAATTGGAAATTTTGAGTTTGGAGGCATTATTGCTGTTTTCTCAGAACAGAGGCAAGTTCTGAATATGGTGTTTCCCGTGAAACAAGAGCTCCAGTTCCTGCTCTGCTCCCTTCCTCTCATTATTGCCTGTTCAAGGAATGATGGTTCTCAGTACACAGTTCCATGGTATCTCCCCTGCTCCTCACACAAGCTGAGAGACACTGAAAGGACACCAGTTGGCCCACACCAGACAGAGGGCCAGCAGCACTGCAGGGATCAGAGTTTGGGCGTTTCAAATCCACCGTTCACCCTTTTGGGCATTGCTCACCTGTGCCTTACCTGATGTCCAAAAAGACTTCCTTTTGGACAAACATCCACTAAACCGATTGTAAAGCTGGAGTAAGGACCGATGGTGAGGGGGGATCCCTGGGTAAAGGGTCCCAGTCGGACCGGCAGGAGGAAGCTGCCACCTGGCTGCCAGCATTGCAGCAGGTCCGAGGAGAGAGGGAGAGCCCTGCCTTTAGCACAGGCTTGCCAGTAATTTCCCGAAGCACTAAAAAAGTTTCCACTTCCAGAATTAAAACTTTTTAAAATAAAGTGGGTTTGATTATCCTCTCACTCTCAGGAGATAAATGAAAGGTAAGTCCATTAAAGATACTGGTGTGAGATTGGTGTACAGGCAGACAGAATTCAGGAAAGATATCGATATCTCCAAAATCCCCTGAATATTTTTTCAGGCATAAACCAAGTATCTTTCCTGATCATAAAGGCTTTATTTCCGAATGGAATTTCAATAAAATGAGCACAGTTAGACTAGTACGCTTATTATAAAGCCATAATGCAGTAGCACTGAAGTTTAGTCATGAAAGATATTAAAAAAGCAGCCCTGCTAAAGCAAGAGAAATTGCTTTCTGACCTACCGATTTTTAGGAGTAGGTGTTAGTGGTCTCTCCACCAAGGAGTTCAGCCTGTAGTAATCCAAGAATGTCCTGGCCACGTTTCTTCCAAGCTTCATATCTGTGACTTTTTAATTAAGGAGCTTTTTTTTTTAAAAAAAAAAAAAAATTAAAAATAATAATAATAAAAAAGCAGAGTCTAAAGGTAAATTACTGCTATTTGATGCATAAGCAAGTTTTACATTAACCATCCCACAGTGCTCAGACTTCAGGCAAAGTGACTTATGCAAGCAGATAAAGTGGGGGTCATCTTGTTTGCTTCTTGTTTTCCCAAGCAGATACTGCATAAAACCACAGACAGGAGGAAACAATCTCCCTTTCTCCCCATGCCTGGTCGCAGGTCCCTGTGGTGGTCGTGAATAATGCACCGGCCCAAAGGGGCCTCGCATTTTCCATGTTCAGGGAAAAAAATCACCTAAAAATGCTTGGATACAAGTAGTATTTCTGTGCTTGTATCCAGGAGACAAGGTCAACAATGTCATGGTATGAACCAGCCATGGCCCAGTGTACAAACTAAAGGTTGGGATTAAAGCTGTAGCCCTCCAAACGTTTAGCACTGACCCCCAGACTGTTATATGGAAAATATACTGTTCTTTAATTGTGTTATATTCAGGGCCTGAAATGGTGATTTTATCACTGCACTGGAAGGAGAGTAGATTACCTTAAGGAGGTCAGCAGTGACTCTGGGGGCTCTTCTCTCCTCACTAGCCACAATTCCTCCTCCGGCTGACCCTGAGCAGGTTAGCTGGTCCTGCACATCAGGGCTGCGACAGAGAGCTCGCAACCGCAGGAGCCAGACCTTCCTGAAGACTCAGTTGCCTAAAAAGAAGCTGAATAGCCTGCGAATGCATTGACAACATGTCCGTGGGGTGAATCTCCTGCTCATGTGAAATGTCAGCAATAGGTCTGCCTGGTACAGAGCAGCGCCTGCTTATCATCTACAGGGTGATGTCCAACTGGGAGAAATGCAGTCGGTGCCATTATCCACAGCTGTATTACGGGGCTGAGGACTCCTTTATTTGCCTATTTATTATGAACTGATGCCTACCCATGCTACAATAAGCACAGACTTCTCCAGGGCAGTGCCCCAAATGGCCATCGTAATGGCCATTTCAGGAGTGCTGATGCAGCAGCTGAGGTAGGTACATAACCTGGGGAACCTAAATGTACCTCTGCCTCTAACATCCAGCAGTCCAAGAAAATAAACTGCTGCTGGGTTGTTTTGTGTGCATGTGTGCATGTTCTGCTTTATCAATAGTTATCTGCTGATGTTTCCATTAGAGGAAAATTCCAGAAGTGCAGTGTCCCAGGGGCTTCCAGCAGTGCCTGTGAAGACGCGAGCTTCTAAATGAAGCTTTTATTACCCGCCCACTTACATTAGACACATCAAAACAAGTGAGCATGAGACATCAGGTTCAGGCATCACTGCGAGATCTCTGTTTATCATTTATTTATTTATTTAAAGGGGACGTCAAACTGATGTGACTCAGTCTTTAGCTCTAGTTCTGCAAAAAGCCAGCCATCAGCTCTGCTGGCACTGCAGTCAAGCCCTGATCTAGTGGCTGAGGATGACTCCTGACACTGCTTTTCTTTCCGGTAATCTGGTGTCACATTTCCAGTTCCCACTGCTGCGCCGGGGGATGCTTACGTGGATCTATCCCTTCTTTTTCGGGGTCTATCCTGATACGCTCATTGCCATCCTAATACCATATGTGCTGCGGGCATCTATATTCTTCTGCCCAACAGTACAGCACAGCCCGAACAGCTGGTGTTCACGGCTGTTGTCTGCGTGGACAGGGATAGTTGGTTGTGTGAAACAGCACCGGCTGTTTCGCGGCTGCTGCAGTACCCAGTGAGCTTCCCCGCAGCCTGCCAGCGCTGACGGACGAGACTAACCGTACGTGCATGAAAGTTCAGCAAGTTGGAGACAGCCTAAAGTTTAGCAATTCCAGGGAGGGCAGCATTGCTTTGAAAGTGTTTTGTGATTGTTACTGGAATTTGGGGGTGGCTGGGGGTAGTTTGGTTTCTGCAGATGGGAACTCAAAGCGGCGGCAAAGGTTAAGAGTTGAAAGTAGTCTGAGAAAGCGAGAAAGAAGGGGAGAGGGCTGTCAAACATTTAAGGCATTGAGAAGACTAACATGGCTTGATCTTTTAGTTTCTTTCATTTACTCGGCACTTTAAAGACATAAAGTGGTAATTGGACTCAGTAAAGTCTCTAGGACATTTTGTCAGTGCCAATCTCGGAAGGTTCCTTTGCCAGAAATGGCCCTGCTGCCCTTTTCTTTGTCTCTCTACGTTGCTTGTGTTTGCATGGTCGGAAACACCAGACATGCTGTCCTGGGGGAGGAAGACCTTAGATGAGAGTGGGTACAACCAAGGAAGTGCCTACACAAGCTCCTACGTGGTGCCTTACAACTCTACCTTAACCCTGACCTGGAAGAATCCAGTTCTACTGCTGAACTTAGGTCTTAGGAATAGCTTTCTGAAGGTAAGGGCAGTTAACCACTGCAATAAGCTTCCTTAGCACATCTGGAGACCTCTAGACTAAAAGCCTTCAAGAAATGGTTAAACCTACAGCAGACAAGAATAGTCTGCTGTGGTCCCGCATGAAGTTTGGAAAAGGAAGTACAGAAGGGCCTCTAAGGGCCCTGCACCCCAGTTTTCTACACGTCTAAACATGTAGAAAATCTTAACGTGCAGCCCACGCAGACCTCCTGTTTGCTAAGATTACCAGGAAAGGCAAAGGCATTTTGTGGAGGATGGACACACGGGCAGACGGACACTGTGAAGAAACTGGAAATGCAAACCTGTGCCATGTTCAGCCACCGGAAAGTCACAAATTGGGAACAACTTGCAGTCAGCACTGATGGAGAGAGACTCGAAGCAGCATGGGATAAAAAATGTGCATGTTCTAATATCGTCTCTCAGGCCGTCCTGCCCCCACTGCTGTGCCTGCCGCCTCCGCAAAGGATGAGCGGTTCCTGTCATGGAAATCAGGCACCTGATACATAAAAACGGAAACAGCACTACATCTCTCCCTGTGACTACCTAGCCTGGGCGAGAAATGGCCTGACTCACTCAGCAAGTGCAGGCGGCACACGTGTGCAGAACCGATGGAGAAAAACAAATCAAAGCAATAACATTTGCATTTATTTCAGGGGCACGGACCCAGACTCCACTTTGGCCTACAATATATCATGAGGACATAAGTAATTGCAACTAGAACCAGAACCCACTTTTGCTGAGTGGTTTGTTTGTTTGTTTTTTAACCAGCTTCCCTTCTGCAATCACACATGCTGCGCTTTTGCCCACAGGAACGCCCTGCCTAGCTTGGACCACACTTGGCAGAAGGCCCCTTCCCAGCTATTGCCATCCCAGGAGCTCAGCTCATATGACAGTAGAAATCCATTTGGGAGAATCACAGTGGAAACTTCTGGGTGAATATTCACCTTCACTAGTGTCTACAATTCCCTTTCCTCTCCCTTCCTCCTCCATAGGCTCATTGTTCCTCCATGCTGCGTATTTCCACCTGGAAGTAGAAACCAGCATGCCCGAGGCCCCTCCTGGAAGCGCTGTTCTCACAGCATTCGCTTTTTGAATGGCATCAGCAGTTTTGGGGAGATTTCATAACAGTCTGTTTATGCACAACTCTGCCAAATTTCACAGATGTTAGGAAGTTCAACAATCATGTGGGGCTCTCTGCAAAATCCCTACCAAGCCTCACACCCCAAAGCTTCCAGCCCTGGGAAGAAAAGAGGAACGAATGAGTGGGGAATCTCATAAGCCGTTACTAGTTTTCAACTGAGAAGATTCATCAATCCTATTGTAGACAGTCTGCTTAAGCTGGAGCCTCTAGAAGCACAGACACAATCTTGTTCTGTCTGTGCATGGAGGCAATAAAAATCTCAATTTGGAAACCAGTTAGCAGTACAAGTCATTAGGGGAGGTACTAAATGTTGCTGCTTTAATAGCTCACTGATCATTTAATAATGTCACTGCTGCAGAGCATGGTGGCACCATTCGCTCGCTTTTGTTTTGCTTTTTGAAATTCAGGGTCATTCCACTTTCAAGTGAGTGGATTATCTCTCTCTCCCCCTTTTGCCAGACACTGCAAACTGCTTTAAATAATTAGAAAAAGGATGGCTCCTTCAAGTTCACCATCTCATTTTCATAAGGTCCAGTGTCATTGCTGTGGAACAGGGAAGAGAAGCCGTGGTGGTGGTAAGAATTTGACAAGGGCAAAACAGTTAGCAGCCCCCACTCATCTTTGATAAGTCCTGTGGGGTCTCTGCCAGGCAGATTGGATCTCTGTTTTTATGTCTCATCTAGAGGACAGCACCTCCATCAATTTGAAACGCTGCACTGGCTTATTAGCTTATGGAATTCATCCAAGTTTAGTCCTAAGCAGGATTTGAAATCATGACCATTCAATCCAGAGGCACCACTGACCAGACCCACGCAAATCTTTTGTTTCAGATGAACAGCTTTAAGTTATCCTAAAGACAGATGGAGGGGACGAAGAAAAAAACAGGGAAGGGAGAAGGAGGGGAAGGAAAATAAGATACAAAGAGAAAGATGAATCTTTATAATAGCTCAAATTAAAAACCAGAAGAAGCTGTTTGTTTGACAAAACTGAATTCTACAGCAAATCTCAGTCCACCACAACAACAATCCTGTTATTTATGAAAAGAGGGTTATTTTGTGTGGGAGAGTCCCAGATGACTGTGGTCAGCTAGCATACTGTCAGCTTCGTACAATCTCAAGAGAAATATGGATGAGGTTTTCTTGTCTGTTTATAACAGCTTCCATCAGTGGATCAACCCCCTTCCTGACTCAAACAAGAGCTCTAATGGAAAATGGCATTACGCGGCTTTAAAACACCGTATCATATCACGCCTGCCCAGATCAGAACTAGTCCTCTATTTTAGCAGTGCTGCTTTCACCAGTTACTTACTTGTTTGGTTTCACAGGGCTGACACTGTTCTCTAATAAATAAGAGACGCTCCCCATCTCACACCTAACTGGGGGGCCCACTTCAAGCAAAGTGTAATTGGGGCAATG